GGCCACAGTGTCCATTCAGAGTGGTCACTTGGTGGGACTGATGAGTTGTTTTAGGACAGCAGCTCAGGACCTTCTGACCTGCTCCCAAAGCAGTTTCCTGACACCGAGGAGAAGTTGGGGGCCACTTTGTTAAGTGTAATTGGAAAATGCTTGCCAGTACATGTCTGAAAGCTGAAGACATTTGGTTTCAAATCCATCAAAACAAAGCGATTAAAATCCCTGGTACTGAAAGGTGAGTGGTAGCAGTCATTGAAATAGGATTATTTCTCTTCTCCACCAGCAAGTGGCAAAGGACATGAGAGATTTTTGGTTGTGAATCCAGGCTCCATTACCTGTAAGTGGTGAAACCTCAGGCAGGTTCTCCCTTTTCTAAACATCAATTTCCTCAACAGTAAAAGGGGAATAAAAATCATAAGGGAGGGTTGCTGAGGGGTAACCCGGGAGGTGAGAAATCAGTAGTATTAATGCTCATCATTTGGCGAGTGTCCAGTGTCAACCAGCATCGCGCTTACTGAGGCACCAGCTCAGGATGCAGGTTGCCGTGAGTGAGGACGGTGTCCTAACCTGTGCCGCGGGTTTTGTGTCTCTGGATGCCTGCTCTGTTCTTTTCACTGTGCAGACCAACCGTGTGAGTCCGGGAACACCACTGGGATCTGAGACTGCTCCTCGACCACACAGGACTGCTGGTGTCCTGGGCATCCCGCTGGGCGGCTGGGAAACATCACTGAACAGAGCATACACGCAGCACAGAGGCTGTGGGGGAGGCCCGGGCGGCCGCAGCAGGGCCAGGGCCGTTGTGCTTGGTGGTGTTTGAAACCTGCGCACCATCAGAATCACCCAGAGAAGTTGTTAAAAAACAGGAATCTGAGGTTCAGGGAGTTGTGAGGTACAGATCCGGCTCCACAGACTTTGGCCAAGAAGGTTGGCTCTGCTGCTCAAGGACTTGGAATCAAACCTGACCTTACCACTGAGTAACCATGTGACCTTGGACTGGATGTCGGCCTCTCAGTGCAGGGATGGTGTTGGAATGCCCGCTGCCCGTCGAGGGTGAGGGTGAGGCCACTCCTGCCCATGGGGAGCAGCCCTTGTGTGATTGTCCTGAAGGGCAGTGGGGGTCCTGCGCCCACAGTCACTCTCCAGCAGGGTGGCGGCCCTTGGTCACATGCTGTGGGATGACCCTTACTTCTGAATGAGAGTATACTTAGGCAAGAGTACTCAACTAGTAACTAGTGTAATCTTAAAACTGGATGAGAATGTCCAACTTGCAAATTAGCCTAATCTTAGAATTAAAACAATCGGTGGTCTCTGGGTCCAGCCATTTCCCTTTTGGTTAAGTTTTCATTTAATAGGAACTTTAAGAGCAGACATATAGTTCTAGGTTAAGATATAGTTATGGTTTAAGACTGTGAGGGAATGAATTGAGCACATAAAGATTTAAAACCAGAATAACCCAGGGATAGATAAATTGATCAACGAAACTGGCTTGAGAGGCCAGAGTTAGACCAACACAAATATGCCAGCTAGATTTTGACAAAGCTGCACAAGCAGTTTGACGGTGGAAGGACAGCTTTTTGAATAAATGGTATTGGCACAGTTGACATCCACAGGAAAGATGACAGAGATGAACCTTGGTGGAAACCTCACCTTGAACAAAAATTAATTCAGAGTGGATTACAGCTTTCAAGGTAAAATGTAAAGCTTCAACACTTTGGGATAAAGACACAGGAGAAAACCCCCAATTAGGAGAAGCTATTTGTAAACCACACTCTCGAAATTCAACAGTGAAAAACCAGCCAATCCAGTTTGACAGTCAGGCAAAAAGCAGAAACCGGCATCTCACCAGAGAGGAGGTGTGGATGGTGAGTAAGCACATGGAGAGCCTCTGAGCAGCGTCAGCCAGCAGGAGAACGTGGCGAGGAGACCGCAGAGCTCCCCAGGGAGCCTCCCGATGCCAGCGAGTGCAGCACCTCCGGGCCTCCCACCGCTGCTGTGGGCGTGTGGATGGGGCCACCACTCTGCTGCAGGGAGGCGGCGGTGCGTTGTTCCATCAAGCTAACCTGTCCTCACCACGTGGCCCAGCAAGCACATCCTTGGGCACTTAGCCCAGAGAAGTGGAAACTCGTGTTCACACAGAACCTCCACACAAGTGTCCATGGCAACTTTATGTGTAATAACCAAAGCCTGCAGCCACCCCGAGAGCCCCTGTCTGGGTGAAAGGTTAAACAAGCGTGTGTGCCCCAGGCACACGGGCCCAGGCTTATGCCTTACACGGCATTGACTGACAGCCTTGGGGGTGGCCAGGCATGTGTGCAGTCAGTCTGTGGGGCGGAGGACGGGGAGGAGGTTCATCTCCAGCCGGGACTCCGCGGGCAGGAGCTGTTTGGCGTCTCCAAGACCAGGGAAAGTCTAAATTTCCTTTAGAGGTCTCTCCTGATCAGGGCAGGCCCACCCAGGATGATCTGTTCCTTGATTAATCTAATGCCAACAAGCTGGGCCTTTTAATCACCTCTGCAGCCCCCCTTCCCAGTAGTCCCCCAGGTTGTGTCTGACTTGGTCCCTGGGGCTGTGACTCCGCCTCGGCAGGACGCTCACATGCTGTGACACTCGCTCCTCAGGATAACTGCTGCCTCCTTCTTAGTGTCATGTGGATGTTGCATAGTTTCTGAAAACCGAAGTATTATTTTGTACAGTTTGAGGTTGACATAACTCCATTAGCGGAAAGGGTATATTGTCTGGCATGTTAATACTGATGTTTAAAAACAGACTGATTCATTGCTTTCTTAAGTGTTTCCATTATAATCCAAGTACAGTCATCCTTAAAAAAAAAATCCTGTGAATAAGCTTTAGACAGTCAAATTTTACGTTGCCCCCTTTGCGTTTTTGGACTTTGATTCCCATTTCATTTTCTTCACAAAATTTTATCCTGTGAACCAGGTTATTACACGCCTTAGTAACAGAAATACAGATAGAACTTGAAGCTGAAAAACGTATTTATTGTAACCATAAGGCCTGAAGAGTTTTTTTTTTTTTTTTTAATCTCGTCTAGATTGAGAATTCTTTATAGCTATTAGTACACAGTTGAGGAAAACCGTGCAAATTACTACTAGTTTACAGCTAATTCTTAACAGTGCAGTATTGTGGAATATACCCTCCCACCCCGCTAGATGGATGGGGCTTTAGTGTGCGTTAATTACTGAATCTCTGGCCAGCGTGAATAATCTGTCTCTTAAAATGAAGCAGGGCTCGGCACCACTTCTGTTTCTGTCTTCAGATTTTACATTTCTAAATTCGGAACTTTGTTTGTGTAGATCAGGGTGTGGGAGGTGAAGGGCTCCTCCTCGCCTCCCATGCGTGCCAGCAGCCTCAGCAGTCCGTCACCATTGGTTATGTCCAACTGTCTGGGCGCTGAAACCGGCAGTCGTGGTTTCATGCACACTTCGTGGAAGGCAGTGAGGAGTGACCCCGCAGGGCACTTGTGATCTCATGTCTGGGTGGACAGGGCTCCTTGGTGTGGTTGAGGGGAGGCTTTGTGCAAGGGAACAACCACGGCCAGAGGTGCTGTCCCAGGGGTCATCTTTAGGACGTCATACCTTCTGGAAGGAGGGCCTCAGGGAGTTAGTCGCTGAGGGCCCTGCACACCTAAGGAGCCAGGTGCCCCCTGGGCCGCCTTTGCTCCAGCTTGAAGTGGCTGTCTCCGACCAGCGTTTCCTCCACCTTGAGGTCCTGTAGGAAGCAGAGGTCTATTTAGTCAGTGGCTCTACCAGTCATCGGTGTGAACCCGTTTTAACCTGTTGTTTCTGGCTCACGTGTCAGCCTGTGAAAGGGCTCACACATCACGGGGGTGAGGGGATGGATGTTTCTGTGCGGGGACCTGGGAGACACCAGCCTTCCGGGAACACGCTTGGGAAAATACCATCTCCTGTTTTGACACATGAGTCTCTGGGGCCGTCACATAGGTGCCTGTACATGTCATCTCGGTACCTGGACACCTGTCATACTGCCCTGCGGGTGGATTGTCAGGGCCTGGGGGGTTACCTCCGGTGTCACTGACAGCTGAGTAGAATAACTAAGAAGACGATAATGGCTGTGAGTGGAATGCAGTGACTGTTGTTATGTTAGGAGAATGCCCCATGGCCCTGTGAGTCACTGTGCCAAGTGGCAGGAAATGGTACCATTTGTGCCTCTGATTTTGGGGGTGTTGACTGTGTGGCTGAGATGGAGGGTGGGGTTCCCACAGGTGCTTTTGGGTATGTGAGTGCTCCGCCTGTAAAAACGGTCCTCCCAGCGCTGATTTTTGGGAAGTGAGGTCCAGGGATGACTTCTTCCCGGGTGATATAGCTGTGCATCCCAACCACCTGTTCTTCCTGCACGAGGCGTGGCCGGAAGCGCCGAGGATTGGAGGTCTCAGGAGCAAGAAGTCTCGACGACTGTGCCTGCCATGTGTTTAAACACACGTCTCCCCGGAGGAACTGCCCCTGTCAGGGCACAGTTCTTGGAGCGTCATTTCCATCACAGCACAGTCTCCGGCCCTGGGCTGTGGGTCCTGCACTGGCCTGGCAGAACCCAGCGGTCAGCGCTGTGTAGTCGCCCGGGGGCCCTGCTGCAGAGGTTCGCCCCTTGGCACACGGCACTCTCGCCTGGCCTGGGGCCGAAAGCCTAGGTTTCAGAAGGGAGCTCCCTGGGGTGGGTTTCCATGCAGACCTGCTGCTTCAGGGTACTGTGCAGTGACAGCTGCGGCACCCATCTCTTCTTCGTAAAGATGTGAACATTCTTAAGCCACTTCTGACGGTACCAGCAAGGAGCAGGGTTAGACTCTGTTAAGAAGCCCCCCCACTGCCCCAGCTGGCCCTCTGCCCGTGCTGCTCATGCACGTCGGGGGGCCCTGCTGGGCCTCCCCCGCTTGGAGCAGGGCAGGGGCATTGACTGTTGATGACTCTGCTCTCACCATGAACGCTGTCGTGTTAAGGTCTTCTTTTCTCTGTGATTCTTTTGTTCCCTAGCGTCGTCCCCCAGACTACAGTAATTCTCAACAGTGATCGGCAGAACGCCGTTGTAGCCAAGATGGAAGACCCCCTGAGCGGCAGGGCACCGGAGCCCCTGGAAAATGTCATTAGCAAGTCAGTAGCACGACCCCCACCTCTCACCACCACTGCCGGGCCCCGGGGACGGGGCGGCGTCCGGGACGCCCGTGTCGTCGGGCCCTGTGTGCTCACTGTGGTCCGCGCGCTCTGTCCTCTCACCTCACTCCCATCTGTCTGTCTGTCTGTCCGAGCATGTCGGGTTGGCGGACGCCCCGTCTCGTTGGCCAAGTGGTGGAGGCATTTAGAGGTGGTGCCTTCTTTGCTCCTTTCTCTCTGGAGATGCTTCAGCTGAAGCCGAGGCGAGGGTGCATGGCGGGCATCTTTGCCCCTCATGTGCGGGGGCCCCCCTCCCCGTGGCATTGGCCCCATCACGCTGCTTCCCAGTGAGTCGTGCAGACCCTCCTGCAGCGGTCCTCCTCCTTCCTTGTCGTGGCTGAGGCCCCAGGAGCCTGGCCGAGGGAGGTGGGTGAAGACACGGGGCCAAGGCCATGGAGCAGATGGCCCATGAGACGGGCCTGGCGAGGGTGGCAGTCATGGCAGGTCCGGAGCATTTAGTGAGGTCCAGCCCCGGGATGGAGACCCCTCAAGCAGGGACATTTCACTGCTTCCCCTCTTTGGGTGCAGCAGTCTCTTGAAGGAAGTCGAAGGGTCACGTGTCTCCAGATAAATTTTTTTTGAGCACGTTTTGGAGCTGTGGTGGTCTGGTTTCCTGGCGGTGTCTCACTGCTCCGCCTCAGGGTCCCTTGTGGTGGTGAGAGGGTCCCCCAGGAGGCTCTTGACTGGCTTTTTCAGCCCGCTCAAGCGGCTTCTGTTAGCGGGGGACAGTTGGGAGTGAGAGCTGCGTCCTCCTGGGCCGTCTTGTTCAGAATGTCCCGGGACGGAGCAGGTCGGGGCTGTCATCTGAGTCTGCAGAGGCTTTCCCAGAAGTCTCTGTGACCCCGACAGCAGTGCTGTGCAGGGTCACCTCCGTGACAGGAGGTCGTGTGTCCGGCCTCGAGTCACAGCCTGTTGTGATTTCACTTCCTTTAAACGTTTCTAGTTTCCTTTGGTTTCTTGGAGCCGCAGACTGCTTCCTGCTGTTAACATGAGCAGAAAGAGTTGCGGAAAGGCTGGTGGCGCAGTGTGCGTGCTGGGGTACGTCTCTCTGAGACGTGAGAGGGAGCGTGTGTGCAGAACTGTCTCCGCGTGCTGCCGTGCTGCTCTCACCACGCTGCTTGTGTCTCTGTTTCCGCACAGCGCGGTGCCCGGGCGTCGGCAGAACACCATCGTGGTGAAGGTACCAGGCCAGGAGGACAGCCACAATGAGGATGGGGAGAGCGGGTCCGAGGCCAGCGACTCCGTCTCCAACTGCGGGCAGTCGGGAAGCCAGAACATCGGCAACAACGTCACCCTCATCACCCTGAACTCAGAAGGTGCGTCCTCTCCGCACGTGAGGTAACGGGTGTGCAGTGGCCCTTGAACAGCACGGGCCGGAGCCGCAGGGCCAGCGACACATGGACTGTTCACTGGCGACCATGGAAGGGGATGACTAGCAGTGATGTGTGAGTTTCTGGCCACATGGAGAGTGAAATCCCCACAGGGCTCAGGTTTTTTCCCCCATTGTTTAGAAAAGTAATATATATTTATTGCTTTTGAAAGATGATAAAATATAAAAATGATGAAGGAAGTGAGAATAACTGGAAGCATTTCTGGTCCAGAGAATTCTGCAAATCAACATTCCAGAGAGCTCTACAAATCACATGCTGTATTTACCATCCTATAACTTGCTTCTCCCCACTGCATGGTAGAAATCTCTCCATGTTAATACTGATTTACATAATCATTTTCAGTTAGTTTCACTCACTGAATCTGGTTCTAGTGATGGGGTTCTAGTGATGGACAGTTGTGACTTGATATCTGGTGGTCGGCTCACTTGTCTGACCACAGCTTTGTCCTGTGTCTCTGATGACGGTCGGGGTTCCATTCAGAGGGACTGCATGTCCAGGTTGAGGCCATGCCGGGGGCTGTGCCGCCCCTGCCCAATGTGATGTAGGGGGACCGTCCTCTCTCCTGTGGGATCTGGGGTTCACTCTCACCTGGCCCTGGGTCTGGGAGGTGGCCTGGCTTGTGCTCCAGAGAGTTCCTGCCTCCTGGCAGCTCTTTCTTGCTCTCAGAGGTTGAGTCAGTGTTTCCCAAACAGGCCTTCTGCCAGCGCCTGGAAAGAGAGACGCGATTACTCGGCAGACGTAGCATCGTGTCACTGAGTCTCAAGCTTTAGCTTGTTAACCAGAGCGGGCTGGTGCGGTAGTTCTGCTTCTCTGTCCAAGTTGTTGATTTTTTCCTAAAAGTGTAGATTTTTCTACGGACAAAGATTGTCCCGTTTGAAAGACTTGTTACCACATTAAAACGCTGAAAACAAATTTCTTTTTAAAACATTCACCTCTAACAGAAGTTGCAGGGTTGAGATGTCAGAGTGGGCACAGGAAAAAGGTTTCCATTCCATCACAGCGACCATCTTAAAGCAGGAGTGCTGGCAGGCTGTAGTCTGTTCACAGAGTGCAGAGCACCACTGTCTAAATCCAGGGTGTTTTCCCCAGAGAGACCCCAGAGCGGGACCCCGTGCCCCGTCCTCCAGTCCCGCCGCCTCTGCCCAGCTTCTTGTCTCGGGTTGCTGGTCGTGCAGGTTTCACTTGAGGGAAGCAGTAGCGCCCTCCTGTCACGTGCACCAGTGCTTCATTCTTCTTTCTGGCCGGGTGACGGCCCATCATGGAGACATGTGCTGTTTGTCCATCACCCATCTATGGACACTGGGGCCGTGCCCACTTTCTGGGTGTCGTGAGCAGTGCTGCTCTGCACATCTGTGTGCAGGGTTTTGTGTGTGTTTTCATTTTTCTGGGGCTGATACCTGGGAGTGGAATTGCTGGGTCAGGGGCGCTAGTCTCTGACTCGTTAGATGTGAGGAAGAGAGGTGCTCCTGACTTCTTCCTGGTGGAAAGTGAATGAAAATTATACTTGGAACAGCTGCAGAGAAAGTTCTTATTCTTCATCCATGTGAGTTTTGGGTAAATACCTCCCTAGATCTGGTTACTTACTATAGACCTGATTTGTTTGGTTTAAATGGCATCAGCTCCAAACATGACATGGGGTCATTTGGGGGAGTCTGGGATTATCATAAAAATAGAAGATGTTGTCTTTTATTTCTTTTTTTTGTGTGTCTTTTATTTCTTAATGTGGTGTGATTAATGTGAAATATATTTCAGTGGGGGAAGCTGCAGACCGAGTCAGATGTGAATGTACATAAAGGAATCACAGTTTGAGCTTCTTAGTATTGACATCTATAGGGAAAAAGTATAGGTTTTCTGGGGGTCTGCGTAGGAGGTTCCCAGTGTCCTCCGGAAGGTCCCCCGCAGTTCCAGCATCCTGAGTGTCGGATTGAGTGTCCTCGGTTGGCCTGGGGTTTGTGAAGACGGAGCAGAGACGGCGTGTGTGCCTAAGTGGCTGCTGTGCACGAGGACACGGGGAGAGGAGCTAAGCTGAGGACGAGTCCCGTGGAGTTGCCGCAGGCTGTCTGGTCAACATCCCAAGCGATTCAGATGCTCTGAGCGGGGGATTAGCTGTTTCCCTGCCACATCCTCCCTGGTCTGACCCACCAGGCCTGGGGAGCGGCTGTCGGAGAAGCGGCATTAGCCTGTAGGTGCTGAGGGGCCGGAGTCCTCTTCTTTCTGATAAGAGCCCGGGCTGCAGTGGATACGTGCTCTAATCTTCTTACCAGAGTACTTCTGTGCCTCACTGCAGAGAACCACGGATTTTCAGAATGATTATTTCCTAGAAATCCCACGTGGTCTGCATGGGTTAGCATGCTGTGCTGTTCCATGATAGATCTGGAGGTGTCAGCGGTTTACCATGTCTTAATTAGGCACTTCTGGCTGCCGCAGCATCGGCTCCATTTGGATCAGAGGGAAGTGCTAGATGGGAGAGGGGTGGTGAGCAGCAGGCTTACTCCTTAGCTCCTGCCTTCCACCCTGCCCATGGCAGGGAGAGGTCGTTGTTCACCCCTGTCTGGTTAAGTACTGACAGTGTGTGGGGTGTAATGATTTAGGTCTCTTAGTTCAGAGACAAAGCTGGTGAGCTGAGTTAGGGAAACAGACTAGCCAGCACGGACTGAAAATGGGATCTATTCATTAATGAAGGGATTTCATTAGATTCTTAATGACGAGTTTTAATTCTTGCTATTTATGCATGTGATAATTCTTACAGAGCTGGACCAATCCTGCATATAAGATATTTGGAACTTGCTTTCAGTAGGGAAGTATCTTGATGAAAACTGAATTATTGTCAGAAATCAGCCTGTGCATGTCGCAAAGCCCCAAGTCAGTGAAATGATTTGGTGCACCTTCCTGGGGTGTGCTGGGGCAGGGGTGTGGCAGGGAAATGAATCCTGGGAGGAGCAGGTGGTTTGGGAGCCTTGAAGAAAGGTGTAATACCTTCACTCAGAAGGACTCGGGTTGGCACAGGATACGAAAGGTAGTGTGTGGTTGTGCTGGGAGGCAGCCCACGAAGCAGGTTCTGGAAACCTCTCAGCCCCTTCCCAGGCCCCTTGGTGTCCCCACAGCCTATATGTCACATGCAGAGAAATTCACAAGCAGCTGGGGCAGCCTGGCAGAAGTGCAGCCCAGCACCCACTCATGACACAGGGCATCCTTTGAGGCTGGCCTGGAGAGGCTAGAGGCCTGCCTTGAGGGCCTGACCTCCTGTGACCTTCCGCAGGTCACGCATGGGCACCCATGCACCCCAAAGCCTGTGGTGAATGGTGAAGGTTGCCCCCTCTCAGCTTGTTTACCATGCTTTAACTGGAGACTGAAGTGTATCCCCAGTCCCCTCTCGTGGCTGCAGAGATTTGAGCCGGTCATCAGTGAGGGTTGAGGGGGACCGGAACCCAGGGTGTCTGGGGGAATTTTCCGTCAACCACAGCTGCCTGCACAGGACTTAGAGGCTTCTGGGACCCCATGGGTGGGCCTCTGGTATCTTTGGAGAGAGTTCAGGCAACAGGCTGGGTTTGGTTGGAAGATGGCATCTGGAGTGGCTGGTGACCTCCTAGCCTGCATGAGACGTGGGCAGGGCATGCAGGTCACTGTCCATGGATTTGAGTGTTGTCCTTTGCTTTGGAGGCGGGATGATGCCTCGTGGGGCATTTTCTCGGAGTCGCTGAGTTGCAGTAATGCGTGTGAAGTCCTGGCTTGCAGGGGACGCGGGTTAGATACCATTCTGTCCACCCCACATGAACAGCTTTGCACTTGAAGAGGGATGCAGGGGTGCACACACCTCGGTCCAGGGACAGCCGCGCAGCTTGGGGTTACATCTCCCTGGTGTTGGCGGACGTGTGGGAGTGTGCATCACCACCTCAGGAGGTGGGCCTATGTATTCACATGATGTGCACATGTGTATGCGTGCATATACACATGTATGTGTGCACATCAGCAGGTGGGGAGGTGGGGACACAGGTGGCTGCTTTCTCTGCTTCAACTTGACGCCCTTGAGAATGCAGTCATTCTCTTTATTTTGTCGTTTTCTCTTCACTTCATTTTCCTGGAACTAAAATAGAGCCTCGAAACACATATTTGTATTCTGAAGTATCTGAGTGGTTAGAAAGTTCAAGTTAGGGTTTTCTTCAAGTAAGTTTTTCAGAAGTGTCAGTTAATTTAATTAAAGATTTAAATGATTGGAGTAGAAAGCAAGTTTATTTTTCTTAAAATCCAACTGGTAGTTTTTAAACAGAGCTACTAGAATATATTGTTTCAGCTGCCAAAACTGGACCAAGCTATTTTAGCAAAATAAATATATTCATTTTGAATTGTCAAAAGGCAGATTTCTCAAATATTTATGTGGGCAGGTGCTCCATCTTATTTCACATTTAAAAGGCATGGTTCATTGTCACTGTCAGGCTAGGCTCCGGCCCCCATGTCGGGCCAGAGGTGAGACGGGGCTGTGTCGACAGCTGTGACCAGTGCCCCCGGGTGAGGATGGAGCATCTGGGCCAGAGAACGTGGAGGGTGCTGTGTCGTCCACTCTTGCAGGAGCTTGAAGTGACGTCTTTCATCCTCCAAAATGTTCTGGTAACTGCCCTGTGGCCCATGTGCCACCTCCGGGCCTGGGGCTGCGTGTCAGCAGGGAGCTGGGTGAGGAAACAGCCCTCCTGGGTCCGAGGACTTGTCCTTGCGGCCTCGCGCCTCCGCTCACGTTGGCCGTTCAGTCACTTCCTCGCCGTGTCCCCCCTTGCTCTCGTCTGCTGCAGGGTTCCCAGAGCTCATCTGTGAAGCCTGGGTAGTTTCCATCAGGCAGCATGATGGGTGATTATTGTTTACATAGAAAAGAGGCTTAGTTTTGGTTTGTAAACTTGTTCATTCATTGGACGTGGTGTTTGGCTTTCCTGAGAATTCAGTGTAACAGATGAGGTCACTTCCTCGTTTCTCCCTCTCAGATCAGCTGGACAGTGTCTGCCTCTTGCCCTCTGTGTCCTGTGTCTGTGTGGGAGGCGAACAGCGTGGTGTGGCCCCGGCCTGTTTTCTCCATCGTCACTGGAGCCTGGTGGTTCCTGATGGGTGGCGTCTGGAAGGAGGATGGCCCTTCCTCCTCCACGTCCCCGTTGGAGCGGCAGGGCCAGGTCCGGGGCTTGGACAGGTGGGCGCTCCTAGCACTGGCCCAGGGCACCAGAGGACCTCTTGCTGGGGACTTTTGGGACTGGTCCCCTCCCTTCCCCAGCCTCTGGTCTGCGGGTCCAGCAGGGTCATACACGGCGTGCACACAGGCTCTGGGGAGCCAAGTAGAGGTATGTGTGCAGGCAGCCCCCAGGGAAGCGGATGTCAGTTGGAGTCAGTGATGGAGAAGCCGAGTCACGAAGCCCCTGCCAATGCCCCCCTCCCGCCCCACCTGCTGTCCGCCTCCCCTACGCACAGGCGTGGCGTCACTTTGACATGATGTTGACTCATGGTTTGGAAAATGACACTAAACTCTTGTCCAGTGTTTACTTTTCTTTAAAAATATTGTCTAAACATAGGAGCTGGCTACACAGAGTTCATAATACTTGTTCCTGAGAGAAACTGCAGGGTCTTTGGCGGTGCAGAGGTTGGAGTTGAAGCCTGCAGCCCGATGTCCTTGCACTGGCCTGCAGGGCGCCCTCCTTCAGTGACCCCTCCAATTCTCTCCCTGCTGCAGGTGGAGGGCGGTCCTTCTGCTCTGGTGTTGTTAAGCCTGGCATTCTAGGTTCACTGAAGGTTTAGATCTTGAGCGTTAGACCCTGTGCCGGGCATAGAGTTGCCACTCTGTGTAGGTAAGTTAATAAACTCGCTGGGAGCTGGTGCCTTTTCTGCATTCCAGCAGTGCCTGAGCCAGCACCTCTAGAAGTTCCTTTGCATTACATTTGGATCATGTGTCCACTTCTTCTGTGGGTAGGTAAATGCCACAGGTGGCTGATGGCAGAAAGCTGCTCCTGGCTCCCCCTCTTTGCCTCCAAACCAGCCTGTTCCTGAGAAGTGGTTCGTCTTACTCATCTCTTACTCTGTGTTCCAAAAGTCAGACTTGTGATTTGTTTTCTGTCCTTAGCCAAAGTCAGGAGCCAGTCTCCCTCACCCCTCTAGTGGCTGGCTGGCCCAGGGGTGATGTGGTCGTTATGATGGGGCTGCTGAGCCTTGCCTGGTGTTTGAGGAAATCGCGTGATTCAGGAGCCTGGCCTGAAGAGGCCACCCTCACAGAGCAGAGCATGCAAGTCCCAGACAGCTGGCCCCTTGGCCTGTGCTCTGTTCCAGGCCTGTGGCAAAGCCGGGCGGGCTGGCTGCCCTTTGCGGGGCCTTTTTTGTGCATAGAGGCCAGAATGTAAATCAGGACATTTCAAAGTAAATCTCATGAGAAATCTTGAAACAGTGACAACCCTGGCTGAAACATGACTTAAAGGCCCCTGGCCTGCCGACCCTTAGCAGGAAGCCGGGTCCCCCTGTGAGGTTTGACTCCCCCTCCTGTTGCCCTGCCCCCAAGTGTGGCGCTTTTAGGGGCCGCCTTGTGTCTCAACTTGCTTCCACATGAGGATCAGAAGGAGTGCTTGGAAAGCGGCCAGCGTGCAAGCAAAGTCGAGTGTGCTCTTGATTTGCGTTCCTAAGTGGAGTTTCCTTCGGCCAAAAGATGAGGCTTTTTAAAGTTGGTGTTTGTTTGACAGCGTTAAGCCCTTTCACACACTTAGTCAATCCTGCAACTCCCGGGAGACTGTGACAGACGGGGGGAGGCGTGTCAGGGACACCGGCCCTTGGTCAGGGTGTAGCATCATCCCTCATCGCTGACGGAGCTGGTAGGGTGCTGCTGGGCTTGCAGACAGGTGGGCTCCTGCCTCCCACCGGGCGGAGGGGGCGCCATCTGCCCTGATGCCCCGCCACCTCCCTTTCTGCCTGCGGTTTCCTGCCTGTCCCAGGAGCGTCCTGGGCTGCCTCCCTGAGGCCGAGCGGGCAGGTCCTCCCGAGTGAGCTGAGCTCCGGACGCTCGCCTCCCAGGCTCCCCTTGAGAAAGCTGGGGGCGTGGGCACTGTGGCCCACGGGGCTCACCCAGACCCCTCTGTCTTCCAGAGGACTACCCCAACGGCACGTGGCTGGGGGACGAGAACAACCCTGAGATGCGGGTGCGCTGCGCCATCATCCCCTCCGACATGCTGCACATCAGCACCAACTGCCGCACGGCTGAGAAGATGGCGCTCACGCTGCTGGACTACCTCTTCCACCGTGAGGTGCAGGCCGTCTCCAACCTCTCGGGCCAGGGCAAACACGGCAAAAAGCAGCTCGACCCCCTGACCATCTACGGCATCCGGTGTAAGTGCCGCCTCAGGCCCGTCGGGGGAGGGCTCCGCTGGGGGCGGGCACTGGGGGACCCCCACTGTCAGGGGTGGGCTGGGGCGGCTCTGGGTCAGAGCTGGTCAGGAGTAGGGGTGCCCTGTGTCTGGGAGAAGGGTGGGCCCACAGGGCGGGCAGGGAGCTGTGCAGAGAGCTCTAGGTTAGAGCTGGTCAGGAGCGGGTGCCCCATACACATTCACTAAACTTATCATTTCTTTCTTTTCTTAAATTTTTTGGCCATACTTCTTAGCATGTGGGATTTTAGTTCCTTGATCAGGAATCGAACCCATACCCCTTGCAGTGGAAGTGTGGATTCTTAACCACTGGCCCACCGGGGAAGTCCCTGCAGTTTCTTTTTCAGACTTTTGACTTTGGCCATGCCAGCCACCTCCTGGGTCAGGAACCCACTGTCACCACTGCCAGCCACACCCACCTCACTGTGGACAAGGCTGGGCTTTACATTTTTTCTCTTTTCTGATTATCAGAACTATTTTCCTTGCTTGGTTTTTTCAGGGGGAAAAAAACTAGCATTTTGAAACATAAGCACTTCTCTGAGCACGGGACTAAGGTTACTGAGCGAAAAACGTGTGGGATGCCAGCTTCTTCAGGCTTCCACAGGGTTAACGGGCCCCCAGAAGCTGGGATGACCTGCTATCCAGTTCATGTGCTCTGTGCAAGAGTAGCTCTTCACTGTAAACGTAAAGAAATTTGCCACGTTGTCGTGAGGCTTAGGACCTAAAGACAGAGCAGTTGCCTTTTCCCTGTTGAATTGATAGTGCTGTAGCCTAGTTCTCGGGGCTTTACTGGTGAGTCACATAGTCATCTGCTCAGACTGCGGGAGCCTTCTGGCTGATCTCGTGAGACCAGAGATGAGACTGGTATGCCCCTGGGGCCCTGAACTGACAGGTCTTTGAAGACGACTGTGAGGGGGCCAACATGGAGAGACCCCAGCGCGGGGTGATGTGATTTAGCAGCACAGGTGGGAGTCACGTGTCCATGAGGACTGTCATCAGGTTTTCCAGAGTCAGCCTGGGGCAGAGAAGGTGTTGCTGATGGTCCATGGGGACCCAGAGCCCCACTGACACTGACCTCTCTGATGTGTGACAGGCTGGCTGTGTCTGGGGCCATGAGGTTGAGACCATGGTTCTAGCAGAGCCAGTCTCCCTGGGAGGGCTGGGGGTGAGTCTGTCTTGTCTGTGGTGGAGGCTCACAGCCTATGACCCGTGGCCGTCGTGGTTTGTAGCAGCGCGAGTCAGTGTCTGTTGTCACATGGCCGTGTGATCCTGTGTGTCAGTGTGTCTCCTCTCCTCCTGGCGACCCTGTCCTACTGCACTCAGAGCCCATTGTACTCCAGTGTGACTGCATCTGCAGTTAATTCGTCATGTCTGCAGCGACCTTGTGTCCAGGGAGCATCACCACGTTCTGGGTCCTGGGCGTGGACGTGAACTTTGGGGCACGTTTCAGTACAATGCTCAGGGCCTGGGTTCTCTGGAACCTGGGTGATCAGGCTCCTACCAGCCCGGCCCAGCACGCCTCTCTGGGGCCTGGGAGGAAGTGGTGGTCAGTGTGGGCTGGTAGGGGGAGGGAGCCTGTGAGAAGCAGAGGCAGGCGGGGCCCTGGATCTCAGATCACCATGGAGCGGGCTCTCCTCACACTCCAGGGGGCAGGGCGCCCGTGGCGGGGTGGAACTTGCCTGCTGCACAGTCCCCCCCCTCCGCCCAGCCACTGAGGGGCTGGCTTGTCTGCCGCTGAGACCAGGTGCTGAGATGGAGAGTCCTGAGGTGCTGGGGTGGGGAGGGGCTGCTGGGCTCATCTGTGGCCATTTCTTCTCTACATGGGTGGGTGCCGAAGGCCTGAATTTTTAGGCTGGTTCTCACTCCTCGCTGATAACTCAGCTTTGGATCTAAAGTGAGGATAATGGCGTTCTTATTTCATGAGGTTTTCTTAAGAGCATCAAATGACTTGAGATAAAATGCTTCAACAAGTGTGAAAAGCAGTTAATTCAAAGTAATCTTTTTATCACTCGTTATGGGAGCTTCTCTCCTCCTTTCACTCAGCTGAGGTTGCTCAGAGCTGTCAGAAAAGATGGGGGACACCTTTGGCAAAGTGAGAGGAAGCCCAGCTGTGGCGCCAGCCTTCGGTGCCCCCCGCCCTAACTGGCCCTGTACGGTTCCCGGGGCAGAGCCAAGCCTCTTGGTGACGGGGCATCAGTGCTGCTGGTTCCTTCATTAGTTTTTCTTGGCAGCCATCATGGGGGCATCTGCCATAGAGCCGGAGTCTTGAGTCACTGTTGGAAGGAACTATGTAATAAGATGTCTTAGAAGCATTTCATTTTATTTTATTTTTTTCCATTTATTTTTATTAGTTGGAGGCCAATTACTTTATTAGAAGCATTTTAAAATGGTTAATGCAGAACTATGAGAATGTGTATTTTTTCTTTAAAGGATGTAAGCCAGGTTTTGAACTAGCAGGTTGGTTTTTACAAAGTCGAATTTTAAGTATTAACATTTCGTTTGTTTCTTATTTGTACACCCTCATGTGTCTTGTATATATTCTTTTCTGTTAGTAACAAGTTCTGAAAGTTTGCATAATCTTGTTAATCCATTGAGGCATTTAGAAGGTGTTTTCCTTGCGCGGAAGGCACGCGGGGCCGGAGGGTGGTCCGCAGGGGTCCATCTGTGTTGGAGCAGGCCCCTGACGAGGTGGTGGACGTGCGTGTGGTCATCAGTTCTTTGCCTGTGTCTGGGCTCCTCTGTGGTTGTAGCCGGTAGCTGGCTCTTCCTGTGACTGTACAACTGTGTTTAGTGGTCGGTCCCCAGTGACTATGTGATTGTAGTTCCGATGGTTGGACTCAGTCACTGTTTGAGTTCTATTGTAACTGCAGCGGGTAGTTGGGTTCTCTTGTTGCTCAAGTGAATAACTGGCCAGGACTTTGTGAGTCTGCCCTGCACTGAGAGCCATACCTCGCATGGAGCCATCCCTCAGTAAATAGAGAGGGACGACTCTGGTTGGAGATGCCCTGGAAACCAGCAGAGGTGCCCCGGCCCTCATGTGATTCCTTCCCTGCAGGGTGACAGTGTGGGGCTGAGACCACTGTGGTTCAGCTTCTCCCCAGTCCCTTAAACCCAGCCCTCCTTAACCCCATTACTCTTTATCAAGATTACAGACATTTCGGTTGTCATTCTGTTTAGAGTTAAAAATGTCTTAGCTTGTGTTCACAAAAAGTCAGGAGGTGTTTTGACAGAAGAAAATATAGTTTACTTAAGAAAACAGACACTTCCTCTGTTTTGATTATTTCTAGGTTGTGTGGTCCCCATAGAGCAGATTTCAGATTTTGGGCATCAGTTTATCTCTCAGCAGATACTCCAGACTTGGTGCTCTTAGTAGTCAAAACAGGAAGTTTTTCAGCTTAATCTTCTTATTAAATTTCTGAATTTCATCCACTTATTTTCTCTTTATTCAGTGGAGCTTCATGACCAGCTAGACAGGAGGTCACCCTGGTGAAAAGCATTTCTTATGATTCCCACGTTCCTGACAGCTACTTTCTGTCCGTTGAGCACAAGGAAGAGATGAATGGTCCACTGAGAGATGGGCGGGCTGGCAGGGCGGGGTCTCCTCCCGTGGGAGGGGGTCTCAGACCCGTGCTGCATGTGGAGAACTTGCCATCGTGTGGGGGCCACGGTGAGGGTGCCGGTGGGCTGTAGCCTGGTGTCCCTGCCTCTCTGGCCAGCAGTCTGTGGATGTGATGCCCACTAGGCTAGGTGTGCAAGGGCTCCAGGGAGGGGGCTGATCTCTGCCTGTAGGGAGTTCTGTTCTGACTGAGGAGGCAGACGGGGAGGCAGGGGAACTTCCATAAGCCTCAGACTCAAGTAGCTGTAGAAGAATGTCTTCAGATGAATTGTAAATGTTTAGTCAACGAACATTGATACGTCTGTCCTCGCTTGGATGTTCTGTGTTCTTGGCAGGCATGAGATGCCTGTTCTCTGTTCTTTGAGCAGAACAAAGATCCCCTGTGTTTGTGGAGGAAATGGAGTAAACATCATTAATATCTAGGAGGTGGCAGTTGGGAGGGCTCTGGGGTCAAGTGGGCTGGTTGAGGGGAGGATCATTTAGATCGCGTTGGAGCCGAAACGTGAGAAGGGGAAAGAAGGTGGCTGGGCAGCACGCTAGGGGTGACAGGTCGGAGTTTCGGTAAAGCTCTCAGGATCCTTGACTTCTGTTTCAGTCTCAGGACCCAGGAGGCTGTGTATGAGATCAGGGTGGATGGTTGGAGTGTGGGCATCCAGGACGCCTGTGGGAATGCTCACCTCCAGCTCGTAGCTTGTCTCCCTTTGGTGTGAGTGGATCAGAGCAAAAAAGTTCAAGCTAAATGAATGAAAAGCTGTCGTCACCCACGACAGGCCCGCCCGAGGTGGCTCTTCCCCATCAGCTTTCTGTTCCCGCTGCGCCCTGACCACAGCTGGGCGGGAGGCCGCGTCTCACCTTCCTTCCGTTGGATGTGTTCTGCAGGTCACCTCTTCTATAAGTTTGGAATCACGGAATCTGACTGGTATCGAATCAAACAGAGTATCGACTCCAAGTGTCGGACAGCCTGGCGGCGAAAACAGCGAGGCCAGAGCCTGGCCGTCAAGAGCTTCTCCAGGAGAACGCCGTCCTCGTCTTCGTATGGAGCCTCAGGTTTGTGGGCAGCCAGGCGGGTGGTCTGGGGCCGTCAGAGGCACGTGTGTCGTGCCCACTCGTGCCCTGGGAGACGCTCCCGTGTGGATGCTGAGGAGCAGAGCAGCCTGAGCTCGGCAGCCGCAGGAGGGGTTCGGCCAGGACCACCGGCAGCTTAGCCTTGGCCAGCTGTCTGGCCCCCCTCGGGATGGTGTTCAGATGCCATCTGGGCAGCGGTCTTGGAACCCCGTGTTTCCGGCTAGCGCCTGTATGAGGCTCTGAGCCAGCCTGGACTGGGTCCCTGCTGGGCGGGGAGACTGGGCTGGTCCCAAAGCGCCCTTTGCTGCTCAGGCTTGGTCTCCAGCAGGGGCTGGTGATGACGACCTTCATCTTTACTCTCGCTCACTTAAACGTTTTTCTTGCAATTACTAGTGTTTCCTTCAGCTGAATGACAGTCATTTGGTTTAATGGCACTTTCGTGTCTTCGGTTCGTTTGTTCTCTGTTTATAAACACGGCAGTGTTCCTCCTGAGAGGCTTTGGGTTTGAGCAGCTCAGTGCGGCCATTGGCCTTGTGTCCTCTTGTGGGTGGCGAACAGGCTCGTCAGTGCCAAGGCTGGGCAGGCTCCGGTTCTCAGGATGTGTCCTTTGGGATGGACACTGGCTGGCCCTGGGAAGGTCTGCAGAGTCCAGTAGCACCTTCCATGGCCAGAGTGACCGAAGCTTTCTCAGGGGCAGGGGAACCCTATGTCATCCTGCTGGGTCAGCTGTCCTCTGGGTCTCGGAGGCAGACTCCTTGGTGCTACAAGGCACGCTGCCTCCGTCCACCCAGCTCTCCACGCTGTGCCTCTGGGGTGGGCTCGGGCTGCTTTCGGGAGGTTGGTCTCCTGGGAGCCAGAGGGGGCCCCTTCCTCAGACACTGGAGCCCTTAGAATTTTGAGAGAAACACAGAACAGCACGTTCTTCTTTTGTCAAAGTTTCTGTAACTTCCTGTTGACTTGACGTTTTTCTGTCTTAACTTACTGCCTACTTGGCTCAAACTTGATACGCACAGGGTGGCTGGTTGAAGGGCCTCTGGGATTTTGTACTGATCTTCCTGCGTACTTGAGGCCTGACACAGCGAATCTGGTACCTAAGGCTCTTCTGGTGACAGACTTAATCCAGGAACGTGTCATTCAGCCAGGATTCTGTAAATTTGGGCTCCGTAGTAATTCCAGCTGGGGTTGTCTTGTTTACTTCTGAATTATCAGCACACAGAAGAGGAACTGACAAGTAAATGCTGTCTGTGAGCATCTGAGCCAAGGCTGCTCTCTTTAAAGCTGGATTAGTACTGCCAGTTTGAGCACAAACCACCACATCACTAATTTCAAGCGACTTTTAAAGTATCAATTTATTAAAACCTCTGTATTTCACACTCTTGTCTGGCCACACTGTGTGAGTTTGTATACGAGCTTGAGTTTAAGGGGCCGCCCTTTATTGTGTGAACACCCCCAGCGCTTTCCCTTCAGCTCTTGTTGGGGAGCATCCATGTAGGGCCCAGAACGTGAGGGTCGCAGGGAACCAGCCTCCGACCTTGTGTCTCTCTGGACGTGGAGGAGCACCAGCCAGTGGGGCAAGGCTTTTGAGGGGCTGCCCTTTTCTATGTGTCTCTGCTGGGAGCAGGTTGGGGGTGGAATCTTCCCTCAGCAGGAAACCTTGTCTCCCGTCACTTGCTGTAGCTCTTGGATTGTTCTTGGATGGCAAGCAAGTAACCAAGGCCCATTTTTGCACTGGATTTTGATATCAATATAGATTATAAAACATGGATTTAAATTGGTTTTCACGAAGTTGCATGCTTGTAGGGAGCTATTGATTGGTTAGTTCAGTAACTTTAATTTGAGGTTTCTGATGTGTTGCACGTGTTACCATTTTAATGCTGTTATATTGTAAGTTTTTAAAAGGTAGTCAGTGGAGTTTATACCATGTCAGGCTGATATGCACTGTTAAGGTATCAAAAGTGCATGAAAAGTCTGTTCTTCGAGAATCAGATGTTTCATATCTTTTTCACCCTTCCATTCACATCCGTATTCTACTTCTCAAGGAGTTTCACTCTAATATGTCTTTTCTTTTCAAGTTTTTTGAGTAATTCATTCTTAGGAAGTGAAAGTGAAAGTCGCTCAGTTGTGTCCAACTCTTTGCAACCCCATGGAGACTATCCAGTCCATGGAATTCTCCAGGCCAGAATACTGGAGTGGGTAGCCTTTCCCTTCTCCAGGGGATCTTCACAACCCAGGGATCAAACCCAGGTCTCTCACATTGCAGGCTGATTCTTTACCAACTGAGTTATCAGGGAAGCCCTAATCCATTCTTTACAACAAAAATATTTTATGTACATTGATAATGAAAATTTTTTCTGAGTTCTAATGTTCTAAGTGTATAAGAAAATTCTGGTTGAGATAGCATTGTGATTAAAAGTGGTACACATGAAAACAAACGTGTCTCATTTTGGGTTAAACATGTAAAGCACACTATTTGTCTTCCCTGGTGGCTCAGCAGTAAAGCATCTGCCTGCAATACAGGAGACCCGGGTTCGATCCTTGGGCCAGGAAGATCCCCTGGAGAAGGAAACGGCAACCCACTCTAGTCTTCTTGCCTGGAGAATTTCACGGATAGAGGAGCCCGGCAGGCTGTAGTCCATGGTATTGCAAAGAGTTGGACACAACTGAGCAACTAAGCAACAACAAAACTTTTATTGAAAAGTTTACCTTTAATTGAGTTAGTGGGGCTTTTCTCCCAAATAATCCATGGACCAATCCTACTTTGGGCTGGTCTGAAACAGTTTAATGTCTGCTTTCTTCCTGTTTTTCATTTTTGTCGCTTCATCTGAGGAGCTTCACTTATACCCAGTGGGTGGCTGGGAACTGTCCCTGTTCGGAGGTGGTCGGGTCTTCATCTCTGTCCACAGGTCAGAAATCTCTGCTGTGTGAACAGCTGCTGCTCGTGATGCTGCACATCCAGGAGCTGCCATGTCCAGGATGGAGGGCTTCCCCTTCCTCCCTGTGGGGGCAGGGGAAGGCAAAGGTGGGCTCAGCCTGGGCTGATCTCTCAGGCACATGTGTACCTCCCTGCAGAGACCATGATGAGCACGCCGCCACCTACCAGTGAGCTGCAGCAGCCGCCCCCACAGGCCCTGCACTACGCCCTGGCCAATGCCCAGCAGGTCCAGATCCACCAGATCGGGGAGGACGGGCAGGTCCAAGTAGTACGTACTTCTCGCCAGTCTGCCCCCGGGAGCGGGAGGGGAGGGGAGGGTAAGGGGCACGACCAGCTTTCCCTGCAGTTCTGGACCCCACTGACAGCTTGGGGGAGGGATCCAGTGCCAAATCAAAGCAGAAGCAGTCAAGGTAGTCCTCCTGCAGCTCACAGATACCCACCCCTTATGGTCCCTGCAACTTGCGCTTCTGCCAGTCTTCCTGGGGGCACCATGATGTGTCCTAGGTATATTCTCAGCTCAGAAGCACAGGCACCCTGTACTGAGGGCCAGCGGAGGAAGCTGGAGGCCTTAGCGTGTAGCCTCTTTGGACTGGATGACAAGTGCCCCTCCGCGTGGCGCCCAGCCCACCCCGCCTGCCTGGCTCTGCCTGTGCGCTGCTTGCCCAGGTGGACATCCCTCCCAACCCTTCATGGGTCCCGTGGCCAAGGAGAGCGGGCAGGAACTCCCTGGGGATCCTGGGGGTGCTTCGTCACCCAGCCTTCTTGTGGCAGGGCGGCCTCCTGGACACCTGGTTAGATGCTGCACTCCACGCACCGTCCGGAGAAGGAGTGCTTCCTGAGAGCACAGGGGGCATTTGTGAGGGGCATGTCTTCTGGGGGAGGCAGAGCAGCTACAGACAGTGGTTCTTTGTTTGGCTGACAGTCCCAGAGGCAGTGACTCTTATCTCATTAGTGAGGAAGCTCTCTGAAAGAATTCCAGAGTAGAAAACTGTGATGCAGGGTTTACATAGACGTGGTAACATGAAAGCCACAGAGAAATCTTCAGTGGTTTACTTTCAGGCCCATTTTGGTTAAGGTGAATTTTAAATAAGATAATGGATATTAATTTCATTGAGCAAAGTTAAGATTTACAGTTATAATTTGTCTGCCTGTACCTGCAGACATTTTAGATGGAGTCTTTATTCTTTGGAACAATATTTATTAATGTTTACTTCAGCTGTTGACATAGTCGTTGATTTAAAGAGGTGACTGACCTGTTCTCTGTGTGGACATGGGTACAACAGCCACCCACCTTTCTGGTCATGCTGCTGTGGCCTCGTGCACCCCCAGGTTACTAGGGGCCCTTCCTGAAAGTCCACAGTTTCTGGTCCCTCCCGGTTGATAGTACAGTTTAAAAAAAAAAGCCAAACACTTTTCAGTTTTCTGGAAAATTTTGGTTCCTCCTCTTTCTGTGTGTCCTTCACATTCTTAACTTTGCTCGTTTAGTGATGTTTAAAGATTCAGCAGAGTTTTCCTAGGCCTCACTGCCCCTTTAAGAATGACTGCAAAGTGTTACGTGTTACGGTCTTAAAGTGGTCCTTTGGGGGGCGGGTCAGTAGCTCACACAGTGCTTTGTGGCCCTGGCTGCTCTGGCCTCCACTCTCTTGTCCTGAGCTGTGAGGGTGAGTCAGGAGCGAGTGTCTCTTGTCTGCCCTGATGCTTCCTGTGTCTTCTCTTCTGCGGATCCCACAGGGCCACCTACACATCGCCCAGGTGCCTCAGGGGGAGCAGGTGCAGATCACGCAGGACAGTGAGGTGAGTCCGCCAGCCGGCCCGGGGCCCACAGGCCCCCTCCACTCCGACCTCTGCAGTGTGCACGACCACTGGGCTGCCCCGGGTGACACGGGCATCCATCAGGGACCCCCTGACGCCTGCTTCTGGGGCACAGACTTGAGGCCCGCCTGCCCTCTGGGCCTTCCTGTCCTGGCCGTGCCTGCAGCCATCAGGGTTTGTTTCTGGACATTTGCTGTATGGAGGCTTTTGCTCCTGGCGGGCTGCCCTCTGGACCACTGTCTCATCTGAGATGCAGACCTTCCTGCACTCCAGCCCAGGGATGGGAGGAGCATAAGAGGGTTGCCCCAGACTGCGGCCTCACTGTTCTCCCCACCGATCTCGGCTCCCTCTGCTCAGGGGGCTGGTGCCCGCCTTGAGGGGGTGGGAGTCCCGTGAGAGAGTGCATGTAGGCTTGTGAGCCCCCGCAGCTTTCTCTGGCCCTGCCCTGGCCACCCATCCTGACCTCTCCCCACGGGCATCCTCCTTACCGCTGCCCATAGTAAGGATGGAGGCAGGGGCTTCCGGCTGCACGCTTGCGCTCTGTGTTCGTGGTGGCTGCCACGGGGCGCCTGGCTTGGGAAGGTCAGCCCGATGCCCACCTTCTCAAAGGAGAGGCTGAAAGGCTGGGGCTGGGGGCCGTCCATTCTGACCAGCGTGGTTCCCTGCACCTTGTCCAGGACCCTGGACCCACACCCTGACCTTTGACTCTTGACCTTTGTGCCCAGTGTGGGTGGAGCTGAGGTACGGGCTTGCTTCCTGCTTCAGGACTACTGCCCCCCTAACCTCTGGGTCCCAGGTTTCGGGAGAGACATTCTTAAGGGTGCGTCTGTGATCTCACACAGAGCAGCAGGTTGTGGGGGCCAGGGTGGGGGAACAGGCTGCAAGCTAAGCGGGGGCACCCCCAGGAGCATGGGGGCCTCCTTTTACTGGGCACGGGTGAGGGGCCACACCCACAGAGGGCCAGGCATCCCCAGCTCACCTGCCTTGCCACCTCCCTTGATGGGGGCTCTTGAAGGAAAACTGCAACGATGGGGAAAGGAGGAGGCAATGTGCATTGGTTTTATATTGTTTCTGCTAAAATCTCACTGGAGTACTTCTGAATTTCAATTTTTATTATCAATTTTACTCACGTTTCCTCCAGTTTCCTTAACTGAATCCTTCGTCCATAGAACCTAGTGTTTTTTGCTTCCATTAGGAATTGGGTGCACTAAATTAGAAGCAATTGCTGATAGTATAATGATTGCTTTGTAATAAGTTACAGCATGCAGTTAGTGCTCTTATCACTTATTAAAACCTTACCTTGTTCATTTAAAAATTAGGTAATTATTTTGTCAAAATGAGGATATCTGTAGAGAGATGTTTAACAGAGCCTACCAGACTTAAAGCAAATATTTTTTTAAACCAATGAAAATGGATTTCCAGCTGATGAGATCCTGGTATCCGTGTGGTCTGGTTAATTGCATTGTGTCCCATATGTTTCCTGGTTGCAGTAATGCCACGTGATGTGTCAGGTGTCTCATGGGGGAGTATGGGACCTCTCTGGGCTACTTTAAATTCTTCTTGTGAGTCTAAGATTGGTTCCAAGTAAAAAGTTAGGAGAAAATAACATTTTCATTTGGAGTCAGGGTTGGGGGTTAGGTACAATGTTTTTTAATTGGCTTGCTTTGTTTTTCTAAGAAAAAATAGTATTTGTAAATGTAGCTTAAGTATTTTGAGGTTTTTATGGCTATGGAGGATTGTGTTTTTGTAGAATGGATGTTAACTGTCCTGCTGATTCTCACAAACGGCCTGGGGACATTCCTGCCTCTGTCTCTTGAGTCTTGAAGCATTGTCGTTGATTGCCTTTGTTTTCATCTGTTTTGCAGGGCAATCTGCAGATACACCACGTGGGACAGGATGGGCAGGTAAGTGCTCACTTGTGGTGGGTCCCAGCTTGTTGTGCAGTCTCTGCCTGCCAGTATAAGTCAGGTTTTGTTCCCATTTATTTCTGCCAAACTCCAACCACTGCTGTTTTCTTCTGGTCCTGAGAGAAAGACACTGAAGGCCTCACTGAGCTCACCTGATGTGAACTGTCCAGAGCTGTGGAGTCCCCAGGCCATCTAAAGGCCAAGGGGCCTGCTCTGTCTAGGGCTCCTCCTGGGGCTGGAGCTGGGCTGTCCCCCCAATCCCTTGGTCCTCATGCAGGCTCCCCACGTGGCCTGGGGCCTCACAGCATGGTGGCCGGGCCCCCAGGGGATGTGGCTAGCTTTTGAGAGCTGGGACACAGACACACAGGCCCCGAAGTGACCACGCTCCTGAGGGCGGTGTGGACTGTCTGTGTCCTGCTCTGAATCGGGAGGACGAGCTGTGAGGTGGTCGGCAGGGAGGCATGCGGCATCTCTCGGCACCCATGCTGGGCCCCGTGTGGCTTGACCATGAGCTGCTAAAGGGCAGGACTGTGTCCTTCCTGTAGAGGCAGGGTCCTGCCCGAGTGCCAGGAAAGGCCTGGCAGATTCCCATGGAGACGGTTGCTGGGTGATTCACGCACCTTAAGTCCTGAAAGTGAGCCTCCCGCTCAGGCTGGTGGGTTGGCGGTTAGCCTGTCAGCCCTAGCGTCGACCTCAGCCCACCCACCCAAGTGGCATAAAATCTTCATTGAGAAACTTGACACAACCATTAACTGTGTGCTTTGTTGTTGGGGCAACTTGGCCAATGATAAAAGTTGGGTGCATTTTTTATGCTTAGAGTGTATCGTTAAGATTTTGTTGAACTGTTGTTGTTCAGTTGCTCAGTTGTGTCCAACTCTTTGCGACCCCATGGACTGCAGCACACCAGGTTTCCCTGTCCTGCACCGTCTCCAGGAGCTTGCTCAAACTCAAGTCCATTGAGTTGGTGATGCGATCCAACCATCTCATCTTCTGTCGTCCAATTCTTCTCCTGTCTTCAGTCTTTTCTGATGAGTTGGCTCTTTGCATCAGGTGGCCAAAGTGTTGGAACTTCAGCTTTAGCATCAATCCTTCCAGTGAATATTCAGGATTGATTTCCTTTAGGGTTGACTGTTTAATCTCCTTGCTGTCCACGGGACTCACAAGTGTCTTCTCCAGCACCACAGTTCAGAAGCATCAGTGGTCAGCCTTCTTTACGGTCCAGCTCTCACATCCATACATGACTACTGGAAAAACCATAGCTTTGACTAGACAGATCTTTGCTGGCAAAGTAATGTCTCTGCTTCTCAATACATTGTCTAGGTTTCTTACAGCTTTCCTTCCAAGGAGCAAGCGTCTTTTAATTTCATGGCTGCAGTCACCATCTGCAGTGATTTTGGAGCCCAAGAAAACAAAGTCTGTCACTATTTCCATTGTTTCCCCATCTATTTGCCATGAAGTGATGGGACCGGATGCCATGATCTTAGTTTTTTGAATGTTGAGTTTTAAGCCAGCCTTTTCACTCTCCTCTCACCTTCATCAAGAGGCTCTTTAGTTCCTCTTTGCTTTAGTCTTAAGATGTCTTTTTCTGCATTAAAAAAATGAGATTTAAAAAAATCTAGAGTTATACAATTTCTGATGTATGTTTTACATTCTTTTCATCTTGGTTTGGGGGGAGTTTAAGAAAACAAAGCAAAGACGCCAGCATTTATTCGTGTGATTGAAAGTTGTGCTCCCGAGCAGGCTGTTTGGAAGAGGCACCTCTGTTTCCAGGGCTTGTCAGCGCCCAAGGACAGTGTGTTCCTCAGAGGGCACTGGTGCCTCTGTCATTTCGGTCAGTACCACTGTTGACTATGAAGTGTGTGAGGAAGGTAAGAGCAGACCCGTGGGCTGTTTCCTGCTTGTGGCACTGTGCATTCAGCAAGCGCCTGGGTATGGAGCCAGGGGATTTGTGGGTCAGGCGATTATGACCTAGTGGGATGTCTCTACTCTGTCATCAGGCCGCATCATATCTGTTGAAACATTTGAATTGGGTCCGATTTTTTTGTCTGTATTTTGGAGATTTTTGCCACATGAGGAATCTTTTAAAGACTGCAGTGTTAGTCATGCTCTTTATATTGGGAACCATGAAATGGTTTAATACTGTTTCAACTAGATGCGTATTTTGGTAGAAGATTTTTATTTTTTTACAGTTGTGGTTAATGTAATCTAAAATGTGTATGAAAAAGGTTTATGTGTGTCTGCAGGCTGAATGACATCAGGGCACTTGGAAACCTGGGAGATGGGTGTGTTCTGGTAAGCCCATCTCTGTAGTGATGAATATGCCAGACACACACAAACACACACACACACACACACACACACAGTTCACGTGTCTTACAGGAAATCAGGCCGCGTGGTGATGTGTCCACGTTCCTCTTGTCTTGCATCTATGAGATGTTTTCTCGGGATCTAGATAAACAACTCTAGCATTCTTGAGACTCTAAAGCCTCTCTCGACATCTTTGTCTTTTGTGTGCGTCCTTATACTTTGCTTAAAAGTGAATTTCAGTAGCTTTCAGAATTTTTTCCGTAAAATGAGGCCTTATAAACCCAGCTGGGAAAAAGATTAGAAGAGATGGGAAGTATCCAACATTTTATGTGTAGATCTTTTTTGGAGTGGATGAGAAGAAGGGCTGTGTGTGGAGCGGGTGGGGTGTGGTATGGTGTGTGTGCAGGGTCCTTTATCTGTGGCGTTGGAGCAGTCTTTGCCATCCCTGGCGTTCCAGTCCACTGTTAATGGTCTGCGACACCTTGCCACCAGCACGCACTGTCGCTTCACTTCTAAGAAAAATGTTTCCTTTAAGAAAATGCATTCCTGCCAAAACACAGACACACATCTTGGAGAACCTAGGTAGCTTGGGATTAATCCTTCTCGGAAAAGCCTTCTCTACTAGAAACGGTGGAAAATGTAGTTTAATCTATAAAAGGTCAGATGCTGAGAAAGTTTGATATTGACTGGTTCCCAGAAATATCCTAAAGAAGTCACAGAAGCAGCTCTGTGTCTTCTGTCTCACTGAGCGTGGCACTGTGGGCCATCACCCTGCCTGAGGCAGCTGGCCCTGTTGGCTCTGGTCTCCTGCTACCAGTTCCATTCCTCAGGAATCCTGGTCTCCTGAGGAGGCTTGGGACTGTGGGAGGGCACCCAGCACCCAGGATTCACCGTTCGGTGTCTCCTGGGCCTGTGGGCAGCAGGGAAGGCAGCTTCAGGCTGAGGGTAACTAGTTAGTGCCGCTAGCATGTCAGTCTACGCCTGTTACCTGTCCCCAGAGTTGTGCCAAACAAGATGGTTTCAGGTTGGACAAGGCCAGGAGGAAGTTGACTGAGATTTGGGCTGGAAACCTATGGTAATGCTTTTAAGAAGAAGTTGCATGTTGTAGTTACTTACATACATGTTTCCAGTATTGTAGATTGTTGGAATCACATTGTCTTTGGAGGCTCATGTTGGTTGAGGCCAAGTAGCTTTACAGTAAAACCCCCAAGGCTGTTCCTGTTGTTGGATGATCGCCCACAGCCCTGAACCCCTTTGGTCAAGTCTTACCTCAAAGGCTTTGACTCCGGACAGTCAAGGGAGGAGAGACAGGCCTTCAAACTGGAGAATCATTTCTGATCCATTTTATCATTTTCAAATATTTGTTGGAAATGTTCAATTAAATTGCTTTGATTCCATTAGATCGAAACTTTATTCATTTCTGTTCTTCACCCACCCACTGTATAGTGTGACTTTTCCGCACTCAGTGATTCCTTGTTGGTGAGTGAATGCAGTAGCATTAGTTAACTGTAAGATACCTGTTGGTTGAAGGTATTTTGCTGCACTTTTGTTTTTAAGCCATTTTAAAATGTACCATATGTCCATTGATGATTTTAGACATGAGTTATTACCTGGAAATGTACAGAGGAGAGCTTACCGCTCAGTAGACTGAAAAATGGTGACTTCGGAGTAATTCCAGGTTTGTTTTCAGTGTGGCCTAATTTGTAAAGCTTTCTCTGCACAGGAAGGCTTAGTGATTTCTCTGGAGGCTTCTGAAGCGCTTCTGCCCCTGCCTGTTTCCTGAGAGGGGCCTGCGGGCAGCGGAGCCCACGCTGGTGCTGGGCCAGTGTCCTGGCGTCTGGGTGATGGCACAGAGCAGCTAAGGGTCCTTCCCTGAGAATTCTGCTCCAGACGCCATCAGGGGGCTGCTGTCCTCCAGAACGAAGCGAGATACCCCTCCTGCTCCAGAAGCTGACTCTCTCAGTTTCTGTTTTGGCGGAGGGTGGGTGGAAGCCGAGCCCTTTGATGGGGCGACCCCATGAAGTGCTGGCTGTCTCTCCAGATGGTTCCCTTCTTTACAGTCTGGGGGACGGAAAATGGGAGGTGCCATGGGGACGTGTCCCTCCTGTCTGCCAGGCCCCAACTTGTCCCCCAGCAGACTCCAGGTGCCGTGACTGTCCATGAGATAGACACTGGAGGACGGTTCTCTATCCTCTTAGCGCGGGCGTGTCTGGACTTGGGGGCTGCAGTCTCAAGGAGGGGTGGCTGCCCTGTGCGCAGCGTCTGAGGTTAGACAGTGGACTCGGGCATGTGGGGCCTGGAGTTGGCACTGGGCTGCCCCATGCCAGGGGGAACGGGACCACCTGAGGGCCGGCAGAGTGAGAGCCAAGTTCTCACGGGGCCGGGACATGAGGGCGCCCTCGGCCACGTGGCTGCAGAGTCACTGCAGTGGAGCGACCTTCCAAGCACAGTGTCACTTCCCACTTTTTCCCTCACTTTGTGAGTGAACCTCAGAGTTCTCTTGAGGTTAACTTCACTGTGTGTGCGAGGAATCATTCCTCTAGAAATTAGGGCACAGTGTACGAGACTAAAGCCGCTGCTCTAATGGAGCTGGAGTCTGAGGTCGGCGGGTCGGACCCCAGTCTGGGCCCTGGGGGAGTCGTGTTCAGAATGTGGCAGAGCTTCTGCAGCAGAGGTCAACTTCTGGTCCA